GGCCGCGGCGCCAGCAGCAGCTCGTAGAGCAGCGCGGCCAGCGCGGCGCCCAGCAGCGGGCCCAGCCAGTACACCTGGCGGGAGGGCACCGCTGCCGCGGGGGGCACGGGGCACCCCCACGCGGTTGGACCCCACGGGGGCGAGGGGGACACCGGGAGGGCAGGGGGAATGGGGGTTCCGGGGGGATGGACCAGCATGGTGCAGGGATGGGACAGGGATCCCAGCGGGATGGGATGGAGATGCCACGGACGGCAAGACCAGGGTCGCATGGGGACGGACTGGGATCCCAAGGGGATGGGACAGGATCCTATGGGAGATGGATCGAGATCCCATGGGGATGGGACAGGGATTCTACGGGGATGGACCGGGATCCCAAGGGGATGGGACAGGATCCCATGGGAGATGGGTCAAGATCCCATGGGGATGGGACAGGAGGATGGTCTGGGATCCCATGGGAGACAGGAGAGGGATCCCGCAGGCATGGGCCAGCATTGCACAAGAGATGGGATGGGGATCCCGCTGGGATGGACTAGGATCCCTTGGGGAATGAGACTGGATCCTGGGAGGATGGGAGGCCTGCAGGGATGGGACAGGCCTCCCGGTGGGGACTGGCTGGGATCTCACTGGGCATGGACTGAGATCCCACAGGGATTGGCTAGGATCCCATGGAGGATGGACTGGGATCCCAGGGGGATGGCTCGGGGATCCGGTGCGGGTGGGGCTGATCCTGTGGGGCATGGCCCGGGATCCCCCAGGGGACAGACTGGAGCAAGGACCGGGGATGGACCAGGATCCTGCCAGGGACAAACACGGGCCCCGCATGGGGCTGAACCGCGTTCCCGCTGGGACAGGACTCGGATGTGACCGAGGGCGGCTGGGATGTGGCCGGAGCAGGACCGGGCCGGTGCCGGTGCCGGGCAGAGCAGGGCGCCCCGGCCCCACTTACCCAGTGGTTGGCGAAGTTGCGGGTGATGACGGCGGGCGCGAAGGCGCGCGCGGGGTTCATGCTGGCGCCCGTGTAATAGACCTGCGGGAGGCAGCGCGGGCTGGGGGGGCGCGGGGGGGCCGCCGCCGCTGCCGGTGGCGCCGGTGCCGGTGGCGCCGCTTACCCCGCAGAGCTGCCCCAGGGTGAGCGAGAGCCCCACGGCCAGCGGCACGGAGCCCAGGCGCCCGTCGCGGCGCTCGTCGTAGCTGGCCAGCACGCAGAGCACGAACTGCAGCGTGAGCAGCAGCTCCACGGCCGTGCCCTGGGCCAGCCCCACGCCGGGGTGCAGCTGCGGGCGCCGCGCGTCAGCGCCAGCCCCAGCCGCAGCCCCCTGAGCCCGCAGCCCCCCCAAAGGCAGTGTTCCCATTCACCCCCACCCCCAGAGCCCCCAGCCCCAGAGCCCCCC